GCAGCAAGATGAAAAAGTGGCATGTGATCGAGCTGGACCCATGCCAAGAAAAGTAGGTAAGTAGGTTCGAATTCGCTATGCAAGCATGCACTGAGATAGGGACAGTGATGAGCGAATTGGTAAACTACAACTCCGACTGGCACCCTCTCCAGGAAGAAGCCGCAAACAACAGAGTAGCTTAACGGCGGCGTTGGAGCATAGGGATGCCAGTGACGGTGGGGCAAGCGCGCCGTGGCGTTTCCGCCTGACTCTTCGTGCAAATGCTGCGGAAAATGGCCTAACTTGTCCAAAAGACCGGAAAAGTCACACTTGCAGCTCACCCCGTTAGTGGTGCATGGCACATCGACGAAAACGGCAGCAATTCCCAGATTGGGCATGTTGGACGTGCCCGAAAATCCGATAATCTGGGTTGACTACACACATACTTCGGAATATCGAACGAAAGCAATGATGATGGTGGCTGGTGAATATGACGTGTGGCAATGATGATGATGATGATGTTCCGGATGCCGCTCACAGATGCTATTTAATGTCATTGTGGAAAAGACTCCCGCTAGCAACCACTCTTTCTGCGATCCTGTTACAAGTTGACCGAAACTAAGATACTTCTTGGTAGTACCACGGAGCAGTTATTATTCCTAAGTATCCGAATGAATATCATTAGTAATGGTAGTCGTCGTAGTAGTAGTGGTCGTCGCAGTCGTACTCGTAGTCGTAGTCATAGTCGTAGTAATAGTAGTAGCAGTAGTAGTAGTAGTAGTAGTAGTAGTAGTAGTAGTAGTAATAATGCTAATGGTAGCAGAAGAAGAAGTAGTAGTAGTAGTAGTAGTAGTCGTAGTGGTAGTGGTAGTGGTAGTAGAAGTAGTAGTTGTTGTTGTAGAAGAAGAAGTAGTAGTAGTAGAAGTACTAGTAGTAGAAGTAGTAGTAGTAGTAATAGTAGTAGGAGTAGTAGTAGTAAGTAGTAATGATGGTAGTAGTAGTAGTAGTAGTAGTAGTAGCAGGAATAATAGCAATAGTAATATTAATACTAGTGGTAATAATACTAGTAGTAATAGTAGTAGTAGCAGAGTAGTAGTACTAGTAGTAGTAATAGTACTAGTAATACTAGT